TTTAGAAATAGTAAGAAATTCTTATATTCACAAAAAAAATTTAGATTTGAATCCGTGAAAGCACACTTTTAAAAAGAGACAGATACAATACTTTAAATAGAATTAGTCTGATACTGGATGAAATTACCTATAGAGACAAAAAAAAAAAAAAAAAGATGCTTAATACAAGTTTAGCTCCCAAGCCTTCAATCTTGGGTTCCTCTCCAAATTTCAGAGAGAGAAATTGTGAATGTTGGAGATGGAATTGAACTCAACAATTCAATTGAATTTTTACATCTTTTAAATAACTGCAAAGTTCAAGGGGGTAAATTGAACAATTAATTATACATCCAATCAACTTTTAAGTTAATATTTCACACCAGGTTTACAACGGTAAGAACAAATTGAAAGGCACTAACAGAATATAATTCAAACAGCGCCCCCCACCTTCCAACCCAAGCTAGAACTTATTGCATGCAACAATTTTCTAATGTTATTGAAATCTTGTACATATATAGATATGAATCATTAAAGCTCAAAACTGCATGAAGAACTTGCAATTTAGTGCATGGCCTTGGTTTGGCTACTCATACACCGAGTAAATTCCAACTGCCAAAGCCAAGATGGCAATTGACACCACCAATCTAAGAGGGAGCTTAGAGACGGGGTCCGATGGCTTCTCCATCTTTGTCAGAGGCTGACTTTTAAGCTTATAAGCAGCTTTTTCAGGCGTAACCGTTGTCAAGGGATCAATCTCTCCAGTGTAGAACTCATCCAACATGAGTCTTGCAGCACTTCCATGGCCGGCAGCTTCAAACTCTTCACTTGCATCCTTCCCTTCAAATTGTTCAACAGAAAAACATAATTCAACCCAACGTGAAATTTTACAAGAAGTTGCTTTTCTTTCTTACTAATTGTCTATTTGAGATCATTATAATTGAAGTTCTATTGAAATGATTAGTTATGGGAAATTTTGTAAAAATACAGATTTTGATTTCTATTCCTTTGCATTTCCTTGAAGAATAAGTTCCAAGCCTAGCAAACTTGGAAGAAGAGACAAGATGTAGCTCGGAGATATTGAGGTGGAAGACCGAGTTGTAGTAGTATACCAGCTGCCACCAGCAGAACCTCTTCGCCGCCCGGGTGGTCCGTCAGGAAGGCTGTCACATCATATGCCTGTGGTGGAAAATCAAGGTGGTACTTTCAAAAATTGAGGAGAAAATGGTCTAAGAAAAAGCTCAAACTCTGGGGAAGTAAATGTCATTGGATATGTGAGACCTCTGACATGATACGAGGAGGAAGCAAAATGTTTTCAACACTCTGTGATATTTGCTTCATAAATGTCCATGCAAAGGCACACTCCAGAGAAGGATATTGAATGAGATCAGACTTGGGTCTATATCATGGTTGATTTTTGCCTGCTGCAATAATATTTTTTTTTAATTTACATGTTATAATCTCCACTTTTGTCACTCAAAATGGGTTTTATAAAGAGATGCTTATGCCATCTGAATTTGATCCGCCATCACTTATATTAGGTTTTACTATTTAAAGAACCTAAAGGAGCATGGATCATATATTTTGTGGAATGCTAATCTTGCCAAGGTTGTCTATCTTTTTTCAGTCTACTCAACTCCAACCCATTTGGACCCCTTAAGTTTCTAACCATGGAGCACGCAATCCAAAAAATGCATAGTTTCTCTTCCAAAAATGACTTCTCCAACCGGAACGCATTAGATATTTGTCTAAAACTGGTGGGTACTTGAGCAGATCCCATGTTACCCCCATGACGTTGGTCTCCGACTATGCCTATTTGATTCTTGGATTTCTGAAAAGACAAGAACAAGAAAAGGTGAAAAATGGGGTTGCCTAATCTTTAACTACAGGTTCTTGTGTGGCTGGGTGGAAACTAAAAGAGAAATCAATATGGGTTCCTCGAAAATTTAAGTAGTAGTCCTTTCTTTCCCTCTCTTTTGCGATTGTCTTTAAGAAAGTAATAAAAAAAGTAGCAATTTCATCTCTTTCTTTCAACAAATGTCAAGATCTAAATGATAGATCAGATTAAATAAAGAAGGCAAGAGGACAGTGGACCCAGAGAATAATTTCTGAGAAAGGACTAGAAGGAGAAATGGATAAACAGTTGCTATCACAAACCATTAACTAGAACCTCGAAAAGCAATAAAAGAGAAAAAGAACAGAGGATGTTGCCAATCTCTCAAAATCACTAAAATTAAACATGTAATCATGTCACAACAAAGAAATAAAACGCACATATATGATGAAGAATCAAGAATTTATGTATATATTCAACAAATTTGGACCGCTGGTCAAGATATTTTAATTTTCTATGTTAAAAAATGTAAATAGATAAAAATGCTAGGTCCCTAAGGCGGTTGTCTTTTATTATGACCTAGGACCACATAAGTCGACAAGAAAGTATCCATCAAACATAGAAATCAATGAAGTACTCAAAGCTTGTTTCTTTTTTCCTTTTTCCTTTTTGTTTTTCTTGTGTGTGTGTGTGATGGGGAGAGGGTAAATGAGAGGGTGTCCTAAGATTCGGTCCTAGAATCAAGTGGTGGTCAGATCAGGGTCTATTCATTGAGCTGTCCAACCTACGGAGTACTCAAAGCTGGCAATCAGCAGTTAAAGCACAATACAAAACCTCTAACTTCTGAGGAGGATTGAGCAACGGCACTTGAATGACACTACGAAGCTTCTCACACAAAGTCATAGTAGAATCCTTGTAAGATTAATTTACATATCATAAGTTTGATTCTTGACCCTTTCCTTTTCTTAGCTTAAGTTTAGAATTCCAATGTAATTAAGAAAAAAAGGTCAATAGCCTCAAAATTCAAAACTGAAATGAGAAATTATCCCAAAGGAGTGAAAAAAACTCGAAAAGCTAAATAAATAAATAAATAAAACCCTTTTTTTGCCCATTTCAGGGTAATTCTGTTCTTTTTGCTCCTCACGAATCAACATCTATTAACTCATAATATCTTTGGTTCCAATTTATCCATCTAGTTTTAAGTGTCATAATAACATAATTACTAACATACTCTAATCCTTTCACGCAAGATCAAAAGCCAATCTGGGAAACTTCGCGCTCGCGCGCGCAGAGGGAAAGAGTTAAAAGAAGGTTTAATATCTTACCTTAGCATTGATAATAACCCAGCAGTCGTTGGGATTGTTGTGCAAAGAGACCTCTGCAAAACTGAACATCTTCTTGTCAACCCCCATCTCTACCTGGGTTTCTTCCTTCGCCGGTGATAAAGGTTGACTTAGAATCCTATCAAATAGTTGATGACTAGAACCTTGGAAATGGCGGGTAATGCAAAGTGCTTCCAACTATACGTAAAATTTAAGGCAAGGAGGACAAGGGAAGGATAGGATAGATGCTGCTCTCTCTCGACTGATTCCTTTTTTTTTCTTCTGCAATATCAAATTATTTAGCCCTTTCTCTCTCTCTCTCTCTCTCTCCCTTTCTCTTTCTCTTCCTTCTTCCCCTCCTTCTTTGTTACGTCTCCTTTTTCTGGAATAAAAAATTGTAAACTAAAAAAGAAAAACGGTAATAATAATTGCAAATAATTTGTTTTTGATATGATATTAAGTGTTAATCTATTAGATAACTAACCCCAATATTTACTGGATTAGTATTAGCATTTAATGATAATCTATTGAACACTGAAATCATTAACCTATTAAATTTCTTCAATGTAGTGTAAGCCATGAGATATCTCTCTCTCCCTAAGAATTTCTTTGTTCATAATTTATTTAATTTTTTTTACTTGCGTAAATGTGTGGAAAAATTATCTCTATTTCTACAATCTACAAATAAAATAAAACAAACATTGTACATCCAGTTTGTAAGAATGACAAATTCGCCCCGAAATGCCTAACCCATGCAAGGATGAGTCTAGCTCCGAGCTATATACACAAAAGGCAGCAATAGGAATTTTCTATCCCAGCAACGGAAATTCTCGTATCTGTATTTTACACTGATAAAACAACATGTATCAATAATTATTAATTAATAACAACATTGTTCAAAGATTAAAACTGAAAATACGGATGGCTCTGTTAATGTTCAGATTTTAATTTATCATAAATTTAAATTTAAATTTATATTAGATTATTTCATTTTTTTAAAAATTATTAATAAATAATTATCAATAAAATAGAACTTACCCTTCCAAATTACAATTAATTAAGTTTTGTCCCGTTGTATCTTAAATAAATTCAAGTTGCATTAGTATAAAGTTAAGAAGTCATTACCCAAATAGCCAACTTACTTCGCATTTTTCCCATCGGTTTAGCGCTCAAAGATCCCGCGAGTGAGTGCGTAGTGTTTGGGGGGCCAAGGCCAGTTACTTCCATGGGTTCCCATATAAATATTCTATTCACATCTCCGTCAGTTGGCCCAGAAGTAACAATGCCACTGACACAGAACAGACGGACGACAAAACCATTAATAATTTCCTATCCTTCCGAAAATTTATGTTTGTGCTTCCTCGCACACGGGTTCCGAATAAAGACATGCCCAAGACCCAATACTCCACTAAAACGAGGCATGCTGCAGAGTGTTCCAAGTATGATGCAAAGGGAAAACAGAAACTGGTCTCATAGAAATGGTGTTCAACAAAATAAGGAGAGTACACGTTGGTCCTAAACGCAAACTTTGAACTTAAAATAGAGCTTGAGCGAGTTCACAACAAGATGTTCTTCAATTTCGCAGAGGCACAAGCTACAATTCCCTTCACCCCGAGTCAAATGCAATTGCAGCCTGAATCTTTCTCTATCATCTACATTTCTAAATGTATAAATTAAAGAGAAACAGGAGTGAAAAGTCAATTGCTGACCAAGGTAGCATCAGAGGACGGCCATAACGTTACGGGGCAATGGAAGCCTTGTACAAAACCATTTTCTTTTCATTTTCTACCAGACATACCATGGTCGCCCCAAGGCACTACCTCAGAACTCAAATCTCTGAAGCCAGAACAGTAACTTGAAATCCAAAATCACGAGGAGTATTCAAATGGCTGAGGTGGCTGTGGCTCCTCATCAACAGCCATGGCCGATGCTGAGCCCTGCTGTCCAGTTGTTGATCCACCAGCAGCTGATGCAGTTGATGATGGTGCATCCGTAAGAGAGAATACTTCAGGTTCAGTTGGGTGCAAGTCCTTTAGAAGAACAAATCCTGAAGGTGCTAACTTAACTGGCACATATCTACTTTCTTCCAGGAATTTGATGCATTTCTCTTGAGCTGGGACAACCCTTGCAGGGTTAGTCAAAAGTTCAAAAGATGGTTCAGGCTCTGATTTCTTCTCTGCTAGATTATCAACCTGCTCAGGGAAGTACAGAGAGATTTCAAGACAGATGGAAGAAAAATGATGTCTAAGTGAAACTAGAAAGAGAAATCAAATTTCAAGCAAACTCAAGGTTGCATGACTCCCAATAGTTTTTTGGTATCCACATCTATTACAAGTTACTTTTACCACCAACACCCTAATGTCATCAAACTTCACATTGATAGATGAACAACGAGCTTTTAAGACATTTCAATGACTGAGTCCAGATAAATCACTTACTAAAAGAGTTTCTAGATTTAAAAGGAAAAACGCGTGTAAATCATCATGCTTACAAGAAACTATAAAAGGTAAACAATTTACGCATCTTTAGAGCAGAAATCAGAAATAGGACTCAATGTCTACCTGCATAGAGTCCCCATCCTTATCTCCTGAGGACTTCCCTTTTCCAGTGTTTGAAGCAGTAGAAGATGAATCTGGCCCAGAAGTTTTTTCCGCATTAACTTTCTGATCTGCCTCTTTTTTACTTGCCCTAGCCTTGGCTCTTGCTGAGGTTGATAAAACTGCAGTAGGAAGTTTCACAGCTGATGTGGTGGGAGGCACAGTAGTTGGCCGAGGATACTCAAATAGTGATGGCTTTGCATGTGATAGGAATTCGAACCTTGGAACTTTCAAGTCATAGTTCAGCCCGATAAAGGCTGTAGGTGAAAATGACAAGCTAACAAAATATATAAGGGGATACCAATACCAGAACTGGCTAAAAACAGCAAGGCCAACAACCGCAGTAATTTTATCATGTTTTGTCTTTGAAAGTAACTTTATTGTCACATTCCTTCCACCAGCATCAAGTATTCCAGAGGCCAAGATTGCTCCCATCTTGCTCATGGTATCTTCATGCTTATCCAAAATTATTTTCTCCAATTGTCGCCTGGAATAACAAACCAGTAAACAATAAGCTAAAGAAACACTAACAAAAGAAAAATAAACAAAAGAAAAGAAAAGGCTATGATACCTGAATGCACCAACACGAGAATCACTAGCTTCGCTGATCTGAACCATCACCATAGCCATTGCAATCAAAGCCCCTTGGCGAACAAAATCAACTACGTCTGATGTCAGGGGCTCCAACAAAGAAATGGCCTCACTTAGACCAGTACCTGCACAGGATATGCCTACTGCTAGTGCTGCTCCATACCGGACATGTGGATTGTAAGATTCAGACAGAAGGGAGACAATGCGAGGAGTCTGCAGTCCAGAGACAGTGAGACCAGCTATGAATTGGGTAATCTAACAGAGAAGCAAGATATTTTGCAAAATCACACACACACAGAGACACACACACACACACACACAGAGACACACACACACACACACACACACAAAAACAAGGGAGCAAACCAAACTTAAATTTGAGGTCATAAAACTAATGTTATTGCAAATAAGAGAGAAAATCGAAAAGAAACAATGAATTATTGTGAGCAGAAAGCCATCAGTGACTGTTTGAAACGCAATATTTGGTATCCAAACACTAAAAATGTCAGAGATCATGCACAAAATAATTATAAACGTGAGTAGCATATACCAATACAACAATTAAAATCTATTAGAATAATTCCCATGAAAGGCAAACTATTGTAATGACATAGAGAAGACACTACAGAGAAGGGGTAAAAGAAAAGGCAATAATTTAAAAGAGAGAAGCATCCTGGAAAGCCTGGAAAGATACAGCACAGAGGAATCTTTCATCAGTTTCTGTTTTTGCTTCTTCTTTGTATTTATTTATTTATTTATCTTGGGTTGGATAAACCTCTATCTCATGAGTTAAAGGTATTTATCCACCAAAAATGATCTAAGCAAATTTTGGCAAGGAAATATGTTTATGCTGCATTCTCATAGGACAGTAATGGAGATGATAGGACCAGATGGATAGTGGAAGAAAGAGAAACAGAAAGTAGAAGGAAACAAAAGGGAGAGGATGATCACTGATTTGAAAATCCAGAGAGAGAGAGAGAGATGTCAGAGAAAAGAGACACTAGGAGATATTAGGACATAGGGAAAAAACATCATATAGGAGATATTAAGAGTCAAGTAAAGAGGGGAAATGAATTGGAGGCGAGAGAGAGAAGAGATTGTAAGGATAAGGTCAAAGGGCATTAAAGCATAGAGTTGCCAGCAGCGACAGAAGAAAGCAGCCTCTTTTGAAGAGAGAGGAGAGCTCCATCTATCATGACCTAGACTCCATTTACAAACACCAAAATTCTAATCATGCTAGGAAGCCACCAATGTGCTTTATGGCTAGAGGTCAATCACATATTGTTGACAATCCTAGACACAATTATGTAATCATGGAATTCATTTCACCCAATCACATATACCATATATACCAAATAAGATATGAATGCCACCGCAAAGGCCACTAAAAGGAAAAGGAAGAAAAATGCAGCACGCGAAACAAAGACTCACACCAGACTAACAACTAGGTTGTACTGGTAAATTTTGTGAACTTGACCTCTACTCTGCATCACTATTACTAACTGTTGAAACAGTAAATTTTACATTGAGAATGGCAACCACTGAAAGAAGAAACCTTTATTTACTTTGATGCTCCAGAGCAGAAAGCTACCAACCTGTTCTGGCTCAGAGTACAGCACAAATCCGAGTGCTAGAACGGCCGTCCGCCTGACATCATCACTCACATCTGATACAGCAAAATGCAGCAGCTGCCGATGGCCTTATTGTTTGCAGTTCCCCTGTATGCCAATGCCAATGCATACATGCCACCATACCGTAGAATAGGATCTTGATCCCGTGTCATTTGCTCAATTAGTGTATCTGCTTCTTCTTCTCTACCATAAACCGTGAGTGCTATCCCCAATGCCAAACCCCTGCAACAAGAAATGACCAAATAAACCTCAAATAATATAATACAAACAAGATTTGATAAAAAAATCACTAAACCAAAGTTACCGAATTATTTTCTCATGCTGTGTCTCGTGTGCATAAGCAAGCATTTCTCCTGCCTTCTCACTTGCAGTTCCAACCATAAGCAAGCCCATACCAATACCAGCAGCTTCGCCGGCAACAGCACTATCAGTATAAAGCACATTTTTTATATCCTCATAGATATCATCGTCAGCAGTTCCAAGAGCTGCTAAGCCAAGGCCCAAACAAGCACCATGCTGGATAACCTGCACAAACCAAAATTGCCAACATCAATATTATAGTAAAAATTGATTGTGCAGACAAGAACCAACAAAGGATTATAGAATCAAACACCTCAACATTAGTACTGCGAAGACTTTCACGAAGAAACTGCTTGATACCCTCGCCATGGTTTGCATGAATCAACCCCAGGGCATAGAGAGCACCACCTTCAGAATATGGACTGCCACCACCAGCCCCACCCTGTGGCAAGTACGGGGCCATCAGTGATCTTCCCTGTTGCAGGTGGCCCCTATGAATAACACCTAGCCCTGCTGTTGCACTGAATTTAGCCCAATTAGTAGCCCTGCTCAACCAATCCTGAAAAATATTTAACACATAATGCAGGTGATCAAAAAAACACTCACAAAATCCGTGGAGTCACAACTATAAAAGGTTATTGGGGAAAGGAAGTAAAACAGTCAATTTACCAGATTCTCTCTGAGAAATGTATCCACAGTCGTTCCAGCGTGCATAATTGCATTAGCATATATAGTAGCACTGTGGCAGACACTATTTCTCATTTCCACAGACTGCTTTATTGTCTTAAGAATAAGAAGATCTGACCTGTAAGCAATTGACAAACCATGAAGTGAGTTTTTTAAAGTTACTTCAATTAAATATCCCCTTCTACCTCTCAAAAAACAAATAAATAAATAAATAAATAGAAAAATCAAAACAAAATTAATAGAATTAAAGCATGAAAATTTAAAAATAAAATAAAGCAAAACTTGGAAGGTAAAAAATTTGACTCACTTGTTATGACTGTATAAAAATTGCAAGGTCAACTGTATTGAAGTCTCTCCTGACAAAATTCCCTTTATTTTGGTCAGCCTCTCAGCATAGGTAACTTCTTTTGGGTCCACTTCTTGCACACTCTTGTTAGAAGCTTGAGTTTCATCTGTCATTTGAACATCCTCAGATGAAGCATTTTCATTCTGAGCAGACTCAGGAGCAGCAGATACTTGCTGTGCAGGTTCTGATGTTTGGGTCTTAGCAATGGAAAGCAGATTTCTCACTTTCAAAAGAAACGCCTGATGTTCATTCTCCACAAGATCAAAAGCTATTTGATAGGCAAGCAGTGCATCATCCTTATTTTCAGATCTTAGGAGCTTTTCCAAGATGCTTGCAACACCTTCTGGTTCATCCAAGAACATAAGGCATTGACATATGCTCAAAAAATCAGGAGATGGCAACTTCTGGTATACTTTAACAAGAAGACGAAGCACCTGTACATGGGCAGAGGATTAGCAAGTAACTATTGCCAAAATCGATATCAATTTCCCTCTCTCTCTTTCTTTTCTCCTTGATAACAAGTAAAATACAAAAGAATTCAACACTTCAGCTGAATAAAGTTGCCACAATTGTAAAATACATCTTTGCTTTGGACATATCTAAAGTCAGCCGCTAAGGGTGCAACAAAAATGAAAAATACCATAGTCACCATCAGAACAATTTGCAAATTCAGGAATTTTGTTCAGCTATGATATTAATCACTAACTAGGAATGGAAGGATCTGCTCATCCGGCCCTAGTGATTTCATATATATGTTACGTGCATATGCAATTCATTTTTTATTTTCCAGTAGAAGACATAGGTCTGTAAATGTAGATATGCTGATACATACATACATATATATATATATATATATAGAACTATATACTTATATTAAAAGGTTTATGAAAAAAATAATAATTTTGGAAGACTCGCATGCATTCCACGACTTGTAAGCATTCTCTTGTGGATAAATCATGGTTGCATAACTCAGCATAAGTTGAAACTTACAAACCTTGCCAACCTACTTTTGTTCAAGTTACACGGGGTTGAAATTCCGTATGAGCTGGATTGGGATTGGATAGCCTTAATCAACTTAGGTCAATTTCAGACATACTTAATCCTAGTCCAGTCACTCAATTTGTACCCCTAGTGTCATATAATATTAATTAACTAATAAATGAAAATATGAATGTAATTATGCAACTCCTTGTTTCTTATGATAATTACAAAGAATGTTACTAGAACTTTATACATGGAATTATAAATTTTCTTTAATGGCACATCTGCACTCTCTCTCCAGGTATGCACCTGATGGAAGGCACCCATCTGGACCAGAGAAAGGCATGGCGATTGTGCCATGAGGCACACTGTACCCAACTGGCACCTTTTTGCATCTTTAACAACTATTGGTGCAAACTTAGATACTGGCATAGCTACCTTGTTTGTTCTCACTAATATGCTACCCAATGAACTTGAAAGAGGAAACCGCCATACCACCAATAGCCATCATTAGAAACGAATATAATACCACTATAACAGTAAAGTTTTATTCAACCTGAAGCCATACAAGTTATAGAACAACCCACAACAATTCATGATATTAAAAAACATAACAAGTGTCCAGAGGTATTACATACAGTTTCTGAATATAAAAAATAATTTTGAGGTGGACAAGCATGGAATCATTTATTACCTCACGGCGGTATTCTCTCAAATTAACAATTGAATGAGCAATATTAATGCAGTAAGATAATGTTGCATGAATGTTATCACTCCTTGTTATAGCCTCCTCGAGCTTGTCCAATCTTCTACATTCAATTGCAATTCCAATTGCTTGTTGATACCTTCCATCCAGTATACACCTATATACAGCAATGATCAAACAATCAGGCTAACTTCTTGTCACACTGAAGAGTAGCACAAATACATACTTATCCAACATTCTCTCCACAATTGCCTCCAAACGGGGATCCACTTTTCCTGCTTCATCATTTGACTCTGCAGCCTTTGATCTGAGACTTGCATACTCATCAATAGCTTTAGCTGAGCAAAGAAAGATGGTGACCAGGAAAATTTGGTAAGACAACACATCAAAGAGAAATTATCCTGTTGCCATTTACTTTTCTCCATGCTGGAAAAGAACGGTGACAAATTAAACATTTTACCAAGTAGTGTGTGGACATAATCTGAGTCCTCAGAAACATCAAATAGCGGACCAGCTCCAAGAGCATATGACAATGAGTCATTAAGTTCACCCAAGTAATAGAAAACCTGAAGCCAAAAAGAAAAGAATTGAATAGAGAAGATAAAAGTCATTTAATGTATACAATTCAAGTGTAAGAAGAGATGGGTTTTTTGGGTAAATACACCAAATGCTACTTCTCTCTCTCTCTCTCTCTCTCTCTCTCTCTCCCCTCGTCCAGGGATGGGGCTTCATCAGTTGTCCTAACATGCACCCAGGCTTTAGATTCTCTTTTTCTATAGGAATGGGGAGAGAGGTTCTGTTTGCTCATACTGGAAGGGAAAGAAATTTTATGGGATCAATAAAATAAAGTTCCATTTTCTTGAGTTAAATAATAAAGCCCACATTAAAAAAAAAAGAGAGAGCTCAAGAACCACATAAACTGGCATGAAAATTGAAAAAAGAAATAAGAAAAATATCATAACATGTAATTAGATGTTTTAAATCAAACACTCTATTAGCTTCTTTTACAAATATACGCATTTTACATACAGATCAAATTCTCATTAATGTTGCACACCATTTTGTTTTAAAGTATTCACCACACAGGTCACCTTTGGAGACAGGAGCTGTCTTATAGTATCCTAAACATATCCACAATTAAGCATATGCTTGGAAGTGTTTGGCTTATCTTTTGGAGTGTCAAAAAAGTATTTCTTGTCCAACTCATATCTGACACTCACAGAGCAACATCCCAAAAGTAACCTCATTACCTTATTGAAAACAAAACAAAACCAAACCAAACCAGACCAGTTTGTTGATTTAAATATTACCTTAATTTTTTTATGTTGGTTGAGAATCCTATTTAACTTCAGTTTGGTTCAATTGCCAAAAAAATAAATATTCAACTCTATGTACTGATCAAATCTCCTCTCCAGCTCAGTAGCATCCATGCGTATGATTATAATTTTTTTCATAACGGTTGTGCTGCTTGCTTAATAAGTGGTATAGAATAAGTATTATTTCAATGGATGGTAACCTTTCCAATGAAATGGTGGTTGTCATAAGTCAGCAAACAGGAAGAGTCGGTTTTAGATGGTTTGGCAGGTCAGAAATGATCTTTAAGGATGTGCATGGTACTGGTTTCAACCAAATGCTTGTGAGCATTATTAGCGATGATGGGTGGAAGTAGTCGTAGTGATGGTGATGGTGATGGTGATCCACTCAAATCGTGATTATTGTGGGTGACAATAACGGGTGGAAATGGCAACAGGTAGCCAGTTTTCATTGAGAAAGGTTTGATTGGAACAGCAATAAAACCAGAGGGCCAACCTGTTTACTGGTTAATTGGTAAACTTGCTAAAACCACCAGGAAATCAGTTTGCAAGGCTTATAGAAAACATATACAAAATCACAATACACATGTTCAGCCATGAAACGCCAACAATTGCCAACTATTAACCTCTCACACCAAGATAGAGATAGGAGAATAATAAAGAAAACCTTGCCAACACAAAGTGAGTATAACCTAAGTGCTAAATATATAGAAGAGAAAAAAATAATGCCAAACACAAAGAAACATAAAGAAAGTAGGTAATTACCTTCGAAACTAGCAAAGCAGCAAGTTGTCGTTGCTCAAACTCTTCATCTTCGTATAAGCTCTCTCTGTATGAGAAGACAACTCAAAAAATTATTTATAAATAATTGAATACATACAATTTTATAATGGATAGTATACCATTATCAGTCCACCAATATCAGTCCTTACAAAAATCATAAGAGCCATGCTCTAAAGAGGTAACATCTGTTAACTAGGTTCACATATTTGAATACAATTGCTAAAATCTCCAGGCACACAAACACGTGTCTCAAGCTTAGACAAACAAGCCAGGCACATACATAAGCCAAGAAGCATCGGACATTGACATAATGATCGACACAAAACGAACGCATACATGCAGACTCATTAGCTAGGACAAAATTAGGATATAACACAGCAGAGAACATTTTATTATATTTATTATATTTATAACTAGAACATTTTACAATAACCAAATATAACATAAATACGCAATAATGAAACTGATCATTCATATTCAAACACCACTCAGCATGAACCAAAAACCAAAATAGATTATAACAATTATTTCGCTTCTTTAACACATAATTGTATATGATATATATGCATTTGCCCTCATATTATTCTTATAAAAGGCTAATTTGGGATGAATCTTTTTTGATATGGAAACAAATGTATTTATGTGGCAAGACATGTATATCAAAGTATAGGGACACGTTATCCAATTAGAGGGACAAGAGTGTCCAAGTAGAGGGCAAGCACATCCAAAATGAAAACAATAAAATACAAATTACGTGGCGTGTCTAATAAGTGTCTTGGAGTGTCCAATACCCTGTCAAACATGGACACAAACAACAAATGGTGTCTCCGTGCTTCCTACTAGTATAATTGTAATGATGGTAACAAATGAATTTTGTAGAGAAAAGAAAAACACGGAAAAAAAAACTATAAGTGCAAAGTTCCAACAGATAAGAGAAAAAGTACTACCGTATATTGAAATGGCCTGAGAAAGGTTTAAACTAAGAACAATTCATTGCCAGGCAAAACATTTCCCACAAAAAATCAAATAGAGATCTACAACAACATTGATTTAGCATTACTTCTTCAAGCAACAAATCAAAGAAAAACTATAGTGGAAAAAACAGAGAGTGAGAGACCATAAACAGATTTTTGAGATATGTCATGGTAGGTGTTTGGTTTCTTGTGCTCTTTTGTTATGGAACAAAAAATCCCTGATCTTTTTATTGTAAAGTGTTTGGTTTGATGGGGGAAAACTTATTTTCTTGCAAGTGGTTTAGTTCCACTTTAAAACAGCCCATTATGATCTGTGAGGCCCTCACCCACATGGATGGCACCAGCACAATGAAAAGTGCAATTGCTGTCACTTGTTTAGCCGTTGGCTTTAACGCTACCCAAGGGCTGAATTTACACCAAGAGCAATTATAGTACTAAACAACCAAATATGTGATAATCAGCCCAACATTATTTGACCCATGAAAAGAAAAAGAAAAAAAAACATCTGGCAATAAAAAGGCCTTGCACCTGAAGGTCCCAACCTACAGCCTGTCAAGGTTCAAAAGTTGTAGCTGTAGGCTAAAGCACCTTAAGCATAGGTCACAACCTTGCCAACTAGAACATACAATTCAAACACCAAAAAAATAAAGGATAAAAACCCCATTCCAAAATGATCATAACACATAAACAATGGTACATGTACTCTTGAAAGAGTGTGAAGTACCCACCTTGGAAGCTTGCTACTTAGGCAAAAGAACATCTTACATGTCAATCCAATGTCACCAAGAAGAAGAAAATATAAATATAAAAATAAATAATAAATAAACTACAACAGCTTTATGTTTAAAATGTTTATCATCCAGTTTAGAAATCCAAGATGATTTGAAAATTATCTAATATATACTTACATTTCATGCATCAAATGCTCTAACAACTCATTTACTCTAAATAAGAAAAAGTATACCAAAACAATGATAACAATTTATCACATCCCTGTGTCCTTTATGGAAGGTAGATAAATTGGGCATTTAGCCTCGTCCATGTCTAACACATGTGTTCATCCATGAAACATTATACATAAACACCATTAAAAATTAAAGGGTACATTTGATTAAAGGATTAGAATTGTTTTGTATTTGATAATATAAATGTTTATACACGAAATAGATATGGTTGAGACTAATGTGGTGCATCCCATGGCTCCCATTAGAATGCGATTGGATAGGAGAGGAAAGGATTTATCATGCTCTAATATGTTCATCTTAGCTCCAAATAGGTGATGGGAAAAGATGGGACCCGCAAACTCATTACTGGTGGAATCCAAATAGTAGATAATTAATTCTATAGGGAATTATTTACCACAGAGAGTGAGACAGAGAGGGCAACTAGCAATCCTAGCTAGTCCCACTCTCCTCCCTTTCCAAAAATCAAATACAAGATTAATGATCCCAAGATTGATGAAACTGCTAATCATAATCCCAGATAATCCTCTTATAAAACAATGCATAACAGGTTCAGTGAGCAATAATAGAAAAAATTATCATATAATTATGCTATGCATTTTGAATGTCTTTCAGAAAAATGAAAATGCAGCCAAAATCAATAATTACACAAAACTTTGATAAATAAGCAAACTGGTAACAGACTTAGTTCTCAAAAAAGGAAATAGATAGCCAAAATAAGAAAGGGGAACAGAAGCAATTAATTAAAAAGAGACAAATAATGTACATATAGAACTAAAACGCACCATAACAATGCTACACATGTAGAAAGGAAAAGAGCTGGAGTGGAAGAGAGAGAGAAAACTATACCCCTCTGCCTGTAATGGTCCATAGACCCCGAACAGTGTTGTAAATGTGAGGCACTCAACTCAACAAAATGAGGTGCCAATTAGAACTAAATTGGGCGGGGAGAGGGGGTTCTCATAGCACTAGAAGAATTTTAAAATCAAGTTTCTAATTTAAAGCATCTTATCTAACAAGGTATGCAGAACTAGATCTTAAAAAAGGAAATAGATTGCCACAATAAGAATAGAAAACAGAAGCAAGCCACTAAAAGTGATAAACAATATATATATATATATATATAAATATATATAGAACCAAAAGGCACCCAAACAATGCTACACATGTAGAAAGGAAGAGAGATGGGAAGGAAGAAGAAAGGGAAGGAGATGACAAAACCCAACCAAGCCTAACTGTACCCCTCTCCACCACCTCAAATTGTCCATAAAACCCAGAACAGTGTTTTTAATGCGAGGCACTCACCCAACAAGTGACCTGCCAGTTAGTGCTAAATTGGGAGAGGGAAGGGAGGCGGGTTTCATACCACTGAAAGTGATATTAAAATCAAGCCTTCAATTTAAGGCATCTTATCTAAAAAGGTGTGAATAAACTAATGGAAAAAGGTCACCAAAGAACAATTTACATGATTTGAACTAATAATGTTAAGTTGAGGTTTAACATCTACTAAAATAAAGAAGAATTCATGTTCTTACATCAGCAAAAAGACTAAATGAATTATATAAAAGATTTTACTTTCACTTGAGAAGCAGGAGCAAAAGAGCAAATAGAAAGTAAATTGAACTGATTTATTAAAAAAATAAAAGCTTACAAAAACCAAGGGTTCATATGCGGGAAGTTTTTCAGACTTTTGATGGAGAACTTTCTTCTACATAGTTGAACTGAGTTCTTTGCCTATTAGGTTGCAAGGTAGCAATTTGGTCATTTTTTCTTTTGTTCATTTGATATCTTAAACTTGGATTACTTTATAAAATAGCATCTGAAGTTTGAATTTGTAACTGGTACAACTTGACCCTATTTGGAAGTGACATTAGTGAGGCAAGGACCTGAACACCAAGAGCCCAAGTCTAGGTGGTAGCCCAGGCAGTGCACAAGTCATGTCACCTGGCCTAAACCAAAGTGAGCCACTAAGGTGATTTCTTGTGTCCAGGTGAGGGCCCGAGTGCCTAGGTGAGCCATGCTAAGGCTTCTGATAACCCTAATCTACAAATTGATTCAAGCGCTTTAATGTCGTCCTTCTCAAGTTCATCCAATTAAACAAAGAGCTGCTTTAACCCATGACTTCTTCCTTGCTGAACACTAGATCACCTCTCTAACTTTTTAAGAAAACAATTTCACCAATAATAAGAACCACCAATTTGCAGAAGTCTCAAGCCAATATAAAATGAACAAGATAGTGATTGATAAGATTCCCATTTTGAGAAATACAAAACACCAATTACCAAAGGTCACACCAGTATAAAATTATCAGTTGTAGCCATCTTATCATCCACCATAGCCCCAAACAATAAAGGTGACCCCGGAAGGGGCATTGTGAGCCCAAATTTCTATCCATTGGTTCAGTAGAACAACATGTTTCAACAGAGTATCACAAAAATATTTTTTCCAAGAAACCCCTAGTCCAGCCTTCCATACTCTAAAGTACCTGACCACCCTTATATCAGAGTTAGAGAAAAAAATCAAGAGAATGTAAAATTACAGCGTCTCCCAAATACCACGTTTCTGAAGGCTCCCAAGAAAATTAAATAGATAGAAGCCATCAACTTCTTAAATCAAGCTAACAAAGGAGCCCCAAGTTCTAACACTACATTCAAGTACAAATTATCAAGCATTAACCATTATAACTACTACTAAAAAGTTTTTGCTTCTAAGTTCAACAAAATAAGCTACAGCAACAATACAGCTCCAATACATATTGCTTAATTTCTAGCCACCTGGAAGAGGGAGAAGCCATCAACTTCTTCACTGAAGCTACTAAAGCCCCTACAAGTCCTTCCAATAGAATCAATACTTTGCCAACTAAAACTACTATAGTGAAGTCGATAAAATAGTATGACACAAGTTAGCAGTACCCATTAGCAACTTTCAGAGAAGATCTACGCTACCAAACACTTTACACAGTCACGAATTTAAGACCTGTAAATAACGTATTCGAAACTTTTTTTTTATTAACAATGAACAGTCATTACGTCCCAGAAGGTAAACGTTATAACCAACCAGAAAACCGTATGTTCTGCATTGCCAAAGAGAACATCTGCTTTACATGACTGAACAGTAAGACGCAAATAAAAGTCCATGAGATGCTTCATCAACAAAGAAAACATGTAATTCTACATAATTTAGCCAAATATTTAGATCAATTTAATCAAATTCCTTAAATTCCTTGACTTCTTTTAAAATCCAGGACATCATAATCAACATATCGAGAATTTAAAATTTCACATTCGTCTCTTTACCTAGGTTTCCCCATTAAGGGAACAGAGGTTTTCACGTCACCAAAAGAAAAGAATGATAAATTCAAAACCCACTTCAACAAAAGTGTTGGGAAAATAGGTAAACAGACAACGCGAATAAACAAAACACAGAACTAAGAACGATTGCGAGAGAGTTTAAAAGTTACATGATGGGCACGCTAGTGGAGATCTCGGGCCAGAAGTAGTCAACAAAAGCGTTGAGATTGGAAAGAGCGTGAAGTTTCAACAGAGGATGATGCTCGTTCAGCATCGCCAACAGTCCTCCAGCCGAGCTCACCATCGTCGCCGCAGCTGCCATGTTCGCCGCCCCCACCACAGTCACTGGACAACTACGCAATTAGGAGATATAGATCTACGCTATACTTTTGATCTTCGCAGCTAGAAAAGCAGGGCTAGGGCTTTGAAGAAGAAGAAACCCTAAGAATTGGGGAAGACGGGAGTGACTTGAATAGGTGCGAGATGGGAAATATGAGCGAACGGAATGTCACTTTCTTGTGGGTCGGGCAACCAAGTTCAGCTCTCAATTTATTTGCTCTTGTACCCTCGTGAGATATTTATTTACACTTCGGGAAACTTGTAACCAAGAAATTGCGGATGCACCCATCAACTGGTGATGGCAATTTATAAACTCATAATTAGGTTTAATAGTTTGACAAATTTATGAAGTCCAAAGCTAGCATTTTATAATTCATCTACTCCTTGAGTTTGGGGATAAATAGCAACTCACAAAATTTAAGGCAGTGTAGCGTGACATGTTATTATAAAATTTTGTATATGGAGAATATTTATTGTATCATTTAACAAATTTTACATTTAATAAGTTCATATATTAAGATTTAAATAGCGAACCATCTTAACAGTTTTTCAACTAATGTTTTACATCCAATTGTTTTGAACAATGCTTGCAATCTCTGTATTACTATAATTATTAATGAAATTTAATCAATACTTATTTCCATATTGTTATTATTTCTTATTCGAAAAAAAGATCACAACTTGTGCCCTTTTTGTCTCCATGTGACATTGCTTTGTCAAACTCTTGCCCATTATGGAAAATTTCCCGGCTGTTTGCCTCACATAAGAGTTTGGCTTGTCATAGTCCTAATATGACTAATCATCCACTTAACCTAATGAGTAATCACTGCCTTAATAAGCTAGTACTTTACTAACTAACTAATCAAATGTGATCCCACATTGAGTATATTCCTTTTCTCCCCAACCTAAAAATATTAGCAATCGTTTTTGGCTATTATATGTTACTCACCCATTCACCACTACAAACACCATTTCCCCCTCTAACTTGCATTTGTTAAGTATGCCGCTATGTTCATCTTGAGTCAAGATTAAACTTTTCATGAGATCCATAGTTGTTTAAATTTGAAAATCTAGAACTTACTAAGTAAACCCTAAAAAGCCTTTTTGCTATAAGGCACTTTGATTTGTTTCCAAGCTTTATTCACTTTACTTTTCTTTTTAATATTTGTTTCAAATTTTATTTCAAAAATATAATTTATATTTGTTTTGGCACTTTCTCTAAATCTTGAGTTTGTTTGAAATGAATTAAATATTTTTGCAGAAGAAAAATACAATTAACCTTCTATTTTCAAATTTAATAACCATTTTTTAAAGCCCCTGAATTTGATATTCATAATAGAATAAATTCTTTCCAATAAACAAACACCCATGACTTTGGAAGAATGAAAAATGACACACTGCTATTCAATTTTGCGTCCAACACAGCATGATTGTAGTGTAGGATTTACCTTTAAATAATAATATATTTCCCCAAATAAAAACCTTGAGAATTTGGTTTTAGAAAATTATTATTATTGTGAATTCAAACTTGCCATTTCTTACTACTCAAAATTATAAAAAATCAACTAGTAAGTCAAAATCTTGGTAGTCACTTTCCATTTCCATTACAAAGGAAATCCATAAAAATTTTTACTTTCACTTTTTTGTGCCTAGTAAATGATGCTTGTGCATTGACCCACTCAAAGCACAATAGTATTCTAAGAACAAGTTAACGGACCAAAATTAGAATTGAATATAATCTTAACAAATCCATGTGCTGTACATCTAGTTAGTAAAAACGTATATCATACCCGAATAATACTTTACTGTATGTAATTTTTAAAAAAACTCTTTGTTCCATTTTTTATGAAAGAGCTAGTAAAATATACGTTTTTTATGATACAAATGTATATACATGAATTATACCTGAATAATAGTTCCCGTACATAATTATATTTTATTTTTAGCAGTGTGGTAGGATTATTATAAAGATCTTATATCAATACTAAAAAAGTATGCATTTCGAATTTTATTAGTTATGTAACTTTATAATATATGAAAAAAATTAAAATAATTTTGAAATTATAAAAAAAATAAATTATTACAAAAACTACTTAACAATCTTATGTTTATAAGGACAAATACAATAGTAATGAAAAATATTTTAATTTTAAAAAAAAAGAGATATGAAATCTATTGATTTGAACAATTTTAGTAAATTTTGAGAATATGTTGTTTATAAGTTTTATGAAAATATTTATTTACAAAATTTGATATTTGAAGATAGGAAGTTACTAATAATATTATTGGAAAAAATAACCTAAGCCTGAACATTTAATTTGAGAGTGTATGATATATTTATTATACTGGATTGTTGAAATTTTTGATATTTTTGAATTATCATTGTAGATAATTGATGTTATTTAATCAGATATGATATTTAAATTTTGATATACTTATTTAATTTAAAATTAACTTGATACATTAGTTTATGTAACTTTACTCGATCTTTTTTTAGTCATTAATGATTTATATCATATAATAATATAAAAATATATATTAACATATTTTATTTATAAATCATTATATGTTTTGAAGGAAAATATAGTTTATTTGTGAAAAATTTATTTATACAAGACTAAATAAATAAATGAAATAACGTATTTTGTATACCGTATTTTAAAATTATCTATAATATACTTATATTCTTTATATAATGTAATTTAAACAAATCCGTAATTTTTGTCAAATAATTAAACGTAACTTTTATAAAAAAATATATATTATACTCATACGTAAAAAGTATCGTAATTTTTTTATCCCATATTTTACTAACTATGGTTATACAGGAAAGGTAGGATGATGATCTTGGGATATGGAAGGGAAAGAAAAATTGGAGGGGATGGTTTGATTTTGAAGAGCTAATTTTCACAATGGTAGATCTCTAAATTAGTTATTTCTCAAGTTGCCTTCATGGTTACAAGGACTATCAAGTTTTGAGATTCCTCTAATGTAATGTTCATTGCTACTATAGGATCTTTTAAGTTGGTGGTGATAAGTTCAACAGGTTTGATAGGATTTTTTAGTAAATTATTTGAATTGGTGTTTATTAATTTTGACTGTTCTCTAATAGGCAATAAGTCATGCCTTAATGTCCAAGTGGCATTCTTTGACCATTCTTTTATTAACCAAAAGGGCTTAACAATTCAAAACTCAATATGCTAATATGTAAAAATAAATAAAAGATATTTACTACGGGAAAAGGAATACCACAAAACATGATTAAAAGGTATGTTTTGATGATGTAAATTAATTTATAAAAAAATATTATTTCCAACACCATTTTAGAAAACAATGTTATGATAAAAATAATTTTTTTCAAAAGGAAAGGCTTTTATTTGGAAATAATCCTTAATTAGCATGGAGACAAAAGTTTAAGAATTAAGAGGTCTTATCATATGTTAGACAACCAATTGTATCTAGTAATCGACATAAAATTTATCAATAGATTTTCTCATATTTCTATTCATGGGTTTTTTCCTTTAAAAAAAAAGTTTCTCTTTCATAGGTGTGAGCAAGATGTGTTAAGAAAAATAATTAAGTATTTTATACCAGTAATTTAGACTTAACAAGTTGTTATTCACCTTAATATCTTCATCTTCTAACTCTACAACATTAAAAAATTGTCAATGCTGAATTTGCTATACTATTTTCCAATTTTTCCGCAATTTGTGTCATCAATGTAGAATACTTAATTTGTTTGACTTATAAGGACAAAAGGCTCATTCTCGTACTTAGTACAACTAATATTTTTATCCTTATGCTTTTGGCATCAACCTATATTATAGAATTCTATTATCAAATAATAAACCACTGAATTTCAAAGAGGAGAAAAGGATTATCTTTTACATAGTCTAACTCAATAATCGTAGTGATGATATGCCATAAAAATTAATGATATTTTTATCATGATAACTTTCAACCAAAACACTACTATTTTGTGTTGTATATTAGCTATCACATTCCCTTATATGAAATACGGCTCTATTTATAATTGATTCAGGAAGATGTTTAAGGAGTTTAGAGTTGGTGAATGACCATTTGAGTTTGAGTGTGAATAGGATTTGTAAATGTGAGTGAGAGAGAGAGAGAGAGAGAGAGTTATTGTAGTATTATTGTGGGAGGATGCTATAGTGCCCTGAAAGTTGCCAAAGTGTGCTGTAGTGTGCCAAGGGCGCTATAGTACCCTAAACATTGGAATTAGCGCTATAGCACGCCCAACCTCATCGTAGCACTATAATGAGTCTTTTCGTGATTTTTAGGATTTTCAAACCTTTCAAGCACTCCCACATCTCCTAAAACACCCTTGTGTTGTAAAAGAAAGGCTTGGAGTCTCCTCAAAGTATCCAAATTCATCCAATATTTAATCAAAAGGTTTTTGAAAATATTTTATAATCAACTTACAATTGCAAATTCCACTTCCAACAAGGATAAAGCATTGTTCAATATGTTTCCAACCATCTCAAAGTAAAATGTTGGAGATTTCAGCGATCTGGGATTGATTAGCATGAGGAGATTTAGGTTTATTCTGAGTTCTTGTTAGAGTTAGATGGAGAGTTTTTTTTTTAAATTGATTATAAAGCACGTTTTGCTTTTGTTAGTTAATTTAATTTAGTTTTTCCTCAATATTTAATTGGTTAAATTTCAATCTTTTGATTATCATATGATCCATTTCTAAACATTACTTGTGCTCTGAAAATTATAGATCAACATGCACCTTGGATACTTTTTTCACAATCACATCCACTAGTTAAAGCTTATAATTCATTTCTGACCTATAATGGATTATGATATTTCAAATTTTCCATCTACAAGAAAGAAAAAACCATTTCAAAACATGTACAAAGAATCTAAAATTTTCAGTTATTTTACTCACATACAAACTGCTTAAACTACAAAAGAAATTGCTCCTTGTGCATTTCTTCTATATAGTCTAAAGACAAT